TCGTGTATCATACTTCGAACATATTGTCAGGAGAGACCAGTTGCTGGAGAAGGATATCATGTTTGGTAAGGTGGAGGGTCAGAGAAAAAGAGGAAGACCCCAATAAGATGGATTGGCCAAGTGGTCAATGGTCTCAAGCGTGGCAACAATTGTGAGGTTGGCCCAGGACCGGGCAGTGTTTCGTTCTGTTGTGCATAAGGTCCCTATGAATCAGCATTTGTTACAGCAACTACAGTATTAGAAATTGTTGTGCATAAGGTCCCTATGAATCAGCTGTTGTTATAGCAACTACAGAATTAGAAATTGACAGATAAGTGGTAGTGTTGAAGTATAGTTTTCTATAATATTCTGTTATAAACCATTTTATCTCTGTTGGTTCTTTTGTAGTATTTCCCATTTCATTAGTTACTTTGGTTGTTTGCATCTTCATTTTTTTCCCTTGCCAATTTGGTAAGCAGTTTGTCTATTTTTTGGATCCTTTCTAAATATCAACGTCTAGTCTTCTTGATTTCTTCTGTTATTTTTGTAGGGTCTAGCTATTGAACTTGGCTCTTTATTCTTTGTTGATGTATGCATTTATTACTATGAATTCTGGAAACCCTGTGTTTGTTGTGTTCCAAGTTATAGCATGTTGTGTTGTCATTCTCTTTTATTCTAGCAATTTTTTTGTTTTTCTTTTAAAAAATATGAAGCATCAATCCTTTCCATTCTTCAGTAGATTTTCATAACTCAATGAAATGTCTACACAGAACTCAGTTACAGGGTTTATTATGGAAGTTAACAGCTTACAATACAGGATCAGAAAATGTTCAGGGCCCAGCTGTTCCAGTCAGCTGCTGGTAAATGCCCACAGGACACACCACTCCATCATAAGCCTCAGCAAACCTCAGCCTGAAGGTATTTGGTTCTAGCTCCTTGGGTCAGCAAACCTAACTCCCCCTCTAAAATGCCTGAGGCACCCCATTCTACAAAAAAGCCTCCTTCCCAAAGCCACTCAGCTTTACTTGCTCCTTGTGTTGGGAAATCCAGTGTTCTGGCTCATGCTCTGGTTCTTTGTTCTGTTACTGCTGCTTATCTGGGCATCTGGTGGAGCTAGGTTTGGTGACCTACAGAGCTAGAGTTGAATGACTTCAGTGCAGGTTTACTAATAATGTGGGATGCCCCTGTTCTTACTGGGATAGACATTTATTCTGGATATGGATTTGCCTTCCTTGAATGCAATTCTTCTGTCAAAACTACAGCCCATCATGCTATAAAATGCATTATCCACTTCACTGGTATCCCATACAGTATTGCCTCAGATCAGAGTTCTCACTTCACAGTCAATGAAGTGCAGCAATGAACTCAGGCTCATAGATTTCACTGGCTTTTGATGCTCCTCATCATCATGAAAGAGCTAACTTGATAAAATGATGGAATGGTCTACTAAAGACACAATTATGATGTCAGCTAGGTGGCAATACTTTTCAGTATTGGGACAGTTTTCTCCAGGAGGCTGGTTACGCTCTAAATTAACATCCAATATATGGTTCTGTTTCTCCAATAGTCAGGATTCATGGGTCCAGGAACCAAGGGGTGGCAATGGGAGTGGTATCACTCACTATTACTCATAATGACCCACTCACAATATTTTTGCTTCCTGTTCATGGGACCCTGTGCTCTTTTGGTCTGGACATGTTAGTTCCAAAGGGAAGAATATTTCCACCTGGAGACAACACTGATTCCTTTGAACTGTATGTTAAGGATGACCCCTGGACACTTTGGGTTCCCTTGTGACTCTGGATCAATAGTCAAAGAAGGGAGTTACTCTATTGTGTGTTGTGATTAATCTTGACTACCAAGGAGAAATTGGGTTGACATATATAATGGAGGTAAAGAAGAATATGTGTTGATCTAGGAGATTCCTTAAGACTTCCTATGTCCTGTGATTAAAGTCAATGGCAAACTACAGCAACCCAATTCCAATATGACTATGATGGACTTGGGACATTTCCACCTCTACAATTATGTGAGTCATTTAAGTTTGCTGGAAATTGACTTTCAGGGTTTAACTCTCATGAAGGCATTTTCACAGATTTGAGGTCATCAGGGAGTGCTGGAAGGAGCTCTGGTAGTATAGTAGTCACAAGTCGAACTGCTAACCTCAAGGTCAACAGTTTGAAAGTACCAGCCATCCTGTTGGAGAAAGATGAGGCCTTTTGCTACCACAAAGATTTATAGTCTCAGAAACCCTATACAGGGTCGCTTTGAGTCAGAACCGACCGACTCCATGGTATATGACTACCTCCACCAGGAGTCTTGGTGTGACACTGTAGCATAAGCACTGTACTGTTAACAAAAAGATACGCCATCTAAATCTGCCAATGGCTTCTTGGAAACCAGCTCCCTATAAAGGATCACTATGGGTTGGAACTGACTCAATGGCACTTAACAACAGTAACAGGCAATAATAAAATGGTGTTGCTTAATGCTGTCAAGTCGGTTCCAACTCATAGTGACCCTAACTAGGGTGTTTAGGAGCAGCTGAGGGATTGAACTGCTGATCTTGTAGTTAGTAGTCCAGTGCTGATCCGCAGCGCCATACCAGAAGTCCTAATAGTGGAATTTAAAGTAGTGATGTGTGAGCATCATTCAACATGGATAGAAAAGTGGTTTTTATTAGTTGCGGAAGTTATTTTCTTTGACCTAATAATCAGGAAGCTTGAGAAGAAAGTGAAACTAAATCAGCCTTAATAATCTGTGCTTACATCAGAGTTGAACCTCTCCCCAGAAAATAAAGTAGAATCAGTGGCAATATAGATCATTCCATGCTGTCTGCTTTCTTTCCTGGGTATTGCAGGACAGTTAAAGTTGAAATCAAATGTAAAACTCTTGGATTTTTTTATAGTGGCAATTTTATCCTCAGTCATGAGACATCCTGATACATTCTTCTTGGCTCCAAATTCTGCCTGGATAGGTTGGTTATTCAAGTTCAGAGTTCATTGATACAGTAGAACTACACTCTGATTCTCAACCATATTTCCCTCTCAGAAACTTACTGAACCAGAGCTCCACGCTTCTGCTGCTGCTGGCTCTGATCCTTCCCTTCAATATGAGAAATTGGCAGAGAGGAAGGGGAGACGAATCATTTGTCCAGTTCTAGGTGAAGTTTTGTAGATTATACCATCAATCTGTCCCACCACTGACTGTACGGTGAGAACATGGGTGTCTGAAGGCTACCTGTGCTTTCACATTGGAAGTGGAGCCAGGTCCGATGTGTGTTTCCTTTCTCTGTACTTTTTGCAATCCATTAGGTATGTAGATGTATGTAACCACTGTTACATCATTTTAAAAATAAAGAAATAGAAGCAAAGCATAATTATGTGTGTGGCTGTGGGCCATGGAACAAATCAAATATGCATCTGAGCTTAGGTTTCCGATCTTCTGACAACCAGTTTGGCCTCTTACTGCTGCCATAAGTTACTTCTGTCAAACATTCATTCTTGATCAGAGGTCATATTATTCTGTGAAAGAGAAACTCCATTAAAAATATTCTAAGCATGTAGTTTATTACGCCTTCACTGAGCTGATGCATTTATCTTATCTTTACACTCAGACTTCTGACTTCATTGTGTTTTGCTAGAATCGCAACCAGGACTTTATGGTAGATATTATGAAATTCCTCTTTTGCTGGCTTGTGCTCTGCAAATTTTCTGGAGCAAGTGTAATTATGCAAATGAACCTGATAATAGATTATTCCTTTATAGTCATGCCCAATTATTTGTGTTTGAAACCATTGCCTGGGACAGAAGTGTAGTAACAGCTCATCTTGTATCTAGAAAGGAAACATAGGAAAGGACACACTTCAATGTAGGTCAACTGCTCTGATGGGCATCAAGCTGCTTCAGGGAAAGTCACATTTGAGGCAAGACTTAGGACTTCTAAGAAAAATGCCAGTTGTCACTGCTTATCTGTTGGCAGACTGAGAGACCTATTCTTGGGATTTAAAGAGCAGTGACACTTAAGACTAGAGAGGGAATTACTTGAAATTATGAGGTGAAGGTGGATGGAAAAGATACTTGTATGGCTACTGTCATTGATTCCCAAACTGTAGCAGACAGATCAAGCAGAAAGCCAGATAAACTCCTATGATCCTAATTTTTCTGTTGTTTGTTTTAAGTTTTTATTGTGAAACAAGTGATTATTTACATTAGCTTTACATTCATCCTATCATATTTTGTTTCATTGCAATAATTACAATCCCCTCCATGCATTATCAAACAACCAAAGTTACACCCTGCATGCCTGCCCCTTGGACGTCAGCACACAGCCCCTTTCTCTCCCTGAATCCAGAGTCCCCAGCTACTCCATCTCAACTCGTCATCTTCTCTGCCTCCATTTCTGGCGTCACTTTTTATCTGGATAGGGTCT